AWKGGRRSSGRRGKKGGAGGCTGGAGCAGGAGGTGACTTYGCGCCGTGTCAAAAGGCCACGGGCCACTTCTGTTAACCACAGCTCCTTTTCTTCTTCGGGGCGTGAGCTGTAATTGTATTTGCTTTCAATCTAGTCTTTCCACAGCTGCTGCCAAAAGCAAACAGCGYGGAGCTGCTCAGGGAGCAGGCACTGCTCGCCATGGGGAGCGAAGGGCACGGGAGAGCTGAGGAACAGGGTGGTGGCAGGGGCGAGTCCTGCGGCGTTGTTTGGCTGCAGTCACCCGTGCCAGGGCGCAGGCTGGTCATGCCAGCACACCTTGGTAACAAGAGTTCACAGTGAGGGCTGGCTCGTGCTGCTGCCTGCACAGCCCCTGCTGGGGCTGGCCAAGCTGCTGCTTCCAAGAGCCTGCACTTCCTAYGCCGGCAAAACACCCAAGAGCCATTGCCTGCACCCCAAAGGCATTGCCTGCAGCCCCCACAGCTGCCTGGGAGTGTGTTGGCAGTGGGCCATTGCATCCCACCAGGCCHATTGCATGTCAGTGCCCTTCTCCTTGCAGCCGGGGCTGGGGCTGTGGTGCCTTCCCTGCCAGGCCCTGTGGCTCTGTCTGCAGAGCTGTCAGCTGTACAGCCACTCTTCTTCCTGGGACGGATTCCTGGGAGATGGAAGTGTTGCCTGTTGGATGGGATGTGTGAGTGATCAGCACTGTTTTTGGCTGCACTCTGATAACATKGGAGACGGTGTCTTTAGTCCATGAACCACACACAAGTTCACCCCTTGCCCCACACACCTGCTTTAGGAAGGCTGCAGAGGCCTTGGAAATGGAGAAGGCTCCTGAGATGTAGCAGGGGAGAGTGTGGGTGAGGTTGGTGGCACATCTGTACTCAGGTCTGGGAGAGGTGCAAAGCCCAGTTTCTGAGTCCCCAGGATGTGCCAGGAGACCCAGCTGGTGGAGCTGGCTCTGCTGCCCAAGGAGGGATCTTCTTGCCCTCCATCCTGGTGCCAGACAGTTACTAGCATGACAATTTTGTTTCCAGAAAGCAGATTTAGGTGACAACACTTCCTTTGGGGCTAGTTTTGAGACACATCATCAGGGCTGTGGTTTGTCTTTTTCCCAAGTGCTGCAGCCTTTCCTGCCTGGGGAAGGAACTGTTGTTGGCAGTGATATTAGCTTAAARGAGTTAGGAGGAGGCATTGACTGCGCTGGCTTTTGGGGGGCATCTTCCGTGGGTTTGAACCCTGTCAGTGTTCTGTTCCAGACCTCCCTGGGCCGTGCCAGTGGCCGTGTTGGTGTCGTGTCCCAGTGCAGGTGGCAGAGCCCTTTCTGAGCAGGGCAGAAGGGTGATCAGGGGGCTGTCACCGCAGAGGAAAGTGGATGAGAACTGGTGGGTGGCCTGTGGCAGGAAGAAGTGAGGATGCAAGAGCCTGTCCTGGGCTGGAGCAGGTCAGCTGGCTCGCTTTTGGAGCGTGTGAAGCGTGCTGTCCACCTGGAAATACAGAGCTGCAAATCCTTCCCTTGTGCCCTCTTCCATGCMGCCTCCAGCTGCCCTTCCCTGCTCTGTGTGGGAGAAGCTTCTCCAGTGCTGACAGGACCTGCAGCCCTGGGTCATCCCTCCCTGTGTGACTGAACTGTGCCTGGGTCGTGGGAACACACTGGCCTTTCTCTGGGAGTGGCAGGGGCTGACAGGGCCTGGCAGTGTTGGTCAGAGGCTGTTTCTCTGAAATAAGTTTCAGAAACACTCCACAAGARAGTTTTGTAAAATGAATCTCTAGCAAGAGGCTGTGGGAATCATGAACCTGGAGGAGGAACCAGCCCCTCGCTGCAGTTGGAGCCCTTGGCTGACAGACTAGCTGTTTCCTCTAGTGCCCTCCGGGTTTCCTTGTCACTGCCTTGCCACGCTCCTGGCCAGACCAGGTCACTGCCCAGCCTCCCGTGGAGCCTGGCCCTGCTTGTCAGCCAGAAGCTGGGGCTTTTCTGGGAGCTCAGTGTCATGTGGCARCTTCCCCCCGATGCCTTCTCAAAGCCAGTCTCCTTTCTGTCCTTCCCTGGAGCTCTGTGGCTCAGGTAGTGGCATCTGGGGCTGGTTTGGGTACCCACCTTATCTGTCCAGAGGCCCACAGAGGGCAGTTYAGGGCACTGGTGTGGTGAGTAGGAGCTGTGGCAGCCACCAAAGCCAGCAGTGCAGGACCAGCATGCTGCCATGTTCCTTTGGGTTGCTGACTGGTGAGCAGTGGGAGCTGCTGTAGAAGTGAAACCAGCTCTCTGCAGCCACCTTTGGTTTCATGAGGGGCCAAAACCAGCAGCGGTGTTCTGGCATTGCCCTGGGAATTCCCGCAGGCTGCACTTGCCATGGCACAGGTAGCAGAGGATGATCACCTGGAGCAGCAAACACATTTTCTCTGGGAAAATTTGGGTGCTGAGGTGAAGCCCWGCAGCCACAGGCTGGCCCAAACCAGGGGCTCGGAGGATATGGGGTTAACTCGGGCTGCGAGTGTAAATGAAAGCTGTGAGCTGGAAGCTGGAGGTGGGGTTTGGGATGCAGGGTGGTGTTCAGGGAACAGATACCACCAGCCTGGCAGGTCTGGCTGGACCGGAACAGCCTCCAGTGTGACTTCAGAGCGCGCTGTCATGTCTCTGGGCTCTGCTGTGAGTAGGCAGAGTGTGTGTCAGCCGCTCGCTCTCTCGGCGCTGCTCCCTGGGAGAGACGGAGTTTCCTGTCTAGACCCCCGTAATCGCGCCGAGGAGGGGTTTGCACGCCGGCTCCGCTCCCTCTCCGCTGATTACCGAAGCAGAACCCGGGCTGCAGTTCCCCCTTCCTGGGGAASAAACACCTCGCTTCTGCCACGTGTCTCGGAAAATGTGGCGCCCGTCTGCTCCTCCCCTGCCCGTGATCCGGGCTGTGGGTTGGAGTGGGAGCCAGCCCCTGTGCAGGACAGCCCGGGAGTTTGCAGCCCCCCAGCTGGGGTGCAGAGCTCCCCTTGCTGTTTGCTCCTCAAGCCCGGGGATGGAACTCCCTGGAAGGTGTTTTTGGGAGGAAGTAAAGTACTGGATCCAATCCCATTTTTGTGCCTCAAAAATGAGGTGACCAAAGAGAGTGATTGAGGGGAAGAAGAATTCCCTGAATCCTGGCCTGCCTGGGGCTGCAGGTGCTGCCTGAGTGCAGAAATGGCATCAAACCCAAGCCCTTTGCCACGGGTGAGCTGAGCACGTTACTGTGCAGGGGTGGGCACTGTGGGTCAGCATGGGCCATGTGAATGATCCTCTGCTGTGTCAGCGTCCCTTGTCCTCGTGGAAGTGGGGCCCACACTGGCACCAGCATGGCTTCCTGATGGGATGGCTGAAGTCCTGCTGGTAGGAACATGGAGCCATGGCTGCAGCCTGCCAGCTCCTGGGCTCTCCCCGTCCTGCTGGGCAGCCTAGCAGTGGAGAACTGCACTCTGGAAGTGTCCCCTGCTGCCTGGTGGGCAGGAGAGGCAGGGGACAGGACAGGAAGGCAGGACCATTTCATGCATTAATTCAATGCTGTTAAAAAAAAAATTTAGTATTAAATGACTCCCTAGAAGTCAGCTCCACTGCTGCCACTCTCCTCTGGTCAGCAGAATGAGGTGGAGCTCAGAGCCACGAGGGTTTTTGGGGCCTGTTTCCTCTTGCAGCCCTCAGACTCAGTTCCCTATGTGTGAAATCCCTCGACGTCTATGCGGGCAGTGTGGGGACAGCAGGGCGGTGACAGAGTCCCGCTCGTGTGTCACTGAGTCACTGGCAGTGGGAACCTGTGGCTGCTCTTCTCCCTGTGGTTTCCTCAAAAGCAATTCCTGYAAACAAAAGGGACCCCACGTGCCTGGGGACCATGGAGTGGGACAAGGAGCCTTTGGGCAGAACTCTGGCCCTGACAGTCATGAGTAACCTTTAGTGTTTAATTACAAACCCTTCAGCATTTAGAGGCAGTGCTGGGAGAGATGCCCTCATGGCATGAGCATTCCAGCCGAGTGTGCCATGCAAGGTGACGGAGGGGCAGTGGTGGCAGCAGGGCTGCTCCGTGGGCTTGTGGATTCTCCTCATTAMAGGTCCTGTGGGCTCACCAAAGTCAGGGTGAGGCTCTCAGGGCAGCATCAGCAGTTCCTGCTCTTCACTTGTCCTCGGTTTGGGTGGGCTCTGGGGCTCTCCTGCTGCGCTGGGCTCCTGGCACTGGGGAGGTGACGGTGGAGCYTCTGGCGGGGTGCCCTGGGCTGGGATTTCATAACAATCCTGGCAGTGTTTGGTGGTAGCTGGCATGGCCCAGAGCAGGGCTCTACATGGGCAGCACGGGAGCCTGTGCTCCCAGCAGCACTGGAGGAGACTGTTGTGTCTGTTGTTTGGAAACCCAGAGAAAATAGTCCAAAGAGCCAAGTGCTGATTTTTCCAGTCACAGAGGAGCACCCAGACTTGCAGGAAAAAACGCTGCATGTTGAATTCCTATCTTGGGATGCACGGCTTGGGGCTGCTTCCYTGCCAAGCCCAACCTAATTACAGATGATTAAGAAAACACGTAGTTCGTGATGATGACAGGGAATTTCTGATAGAAAGGAGGGTATAGGTTTAGAAAATGGCCCAGCTGGGAAAAAGAACCTTTTGTGCCCAAGGAGAGGGTTTTGCTGTRTCTCCATAAGGAGACCTTGGCATGTCAGTCCCTCTCTAGGCTCCAAGTCTAATAGGATCTGATTTGATTTCCTTCCTTGCTSATGTTCATGGCTCCCACTTTTTGCAGTGCTGCTGCTGCAACAGCTCCTGCAGCTCTGAGAAGGTTTCAGGGGGAACAAAATTCAAAGTTTGTGTAAACCTTCACCTACCCCTGTGYCTTGGGGAATATGTAACTGCTGTCCTACATGGGACACCTGCAGTGTGGTGGGTACCCCAGCCAGGACCCACAGCTGTGCCTGGGTGGACCGGCCCTGGTACCCAGGGCTGGCAGGGCTGGGGGCATCCTGACTTTCCTCTGGTTTCTGCCTTGCAGCAGAAGAAGTCGTACCTGGAGCGAAGTGTGAAGGAAGCAGAAGACAATATCCGGGAGATGCTGATGGCACGCAGGGCRCAGTAGTGGCACCCTGGATGCCCTGGGCTGATCCCTAACCTGTCCCCCCTCTCCCAAATAAAGCACTGTTGTGACACACAGCTCGTGTCTTGTGGCTGCTCTCCCTGCACGGGTGTGATGGA